GCTAGTAATGGCGGACGAAGCGAGAGAAAAGAATACATTTTAAAAAAAAATATGGTGATTTAAAAATTAAAAAAAATTAGCAGTTGTAATTCTAATACTTTTATCATTTGTATGGACGTGTTTTTAAATATTATTTTTCGTCATAAAAAACACGAAATAAACATGAACCCACAGCGGGTCAATTAGTTCTTCAAATGATACTTTTAAGTTAATTTTATAGTTTTGTGATATTAATAATGCTAATATATTGATATTTTTCTAATTTTGATTTAAGTTTGCTTGTTTAGCATCGTCACAGTTGCTAGGTGACATGACGTACGCCGGGGTAAGGAGGGGAGGCTAGACCGTCCAAATTCACAGACACTTTTTTTCAGGTCTTCCCGGTCTACCAAGGACCCGGCCCGCCGCAACCGAGTAGTCTGGGTCCTCCGGAGGACCCGGCCTGTCGTTTTGGACACAGCCATTAACTCCGCCCTCCAAAGCCAGCGTTTACGTTAGCATGGCTAATAATAGCAGAAGCTCCGTTGTACAACCATATGAGACCCAGAGGCAGAGTCGTGGTCCCAGCTTCTTTTTTTCCTCTCCCTCCTCTGCTCTGTGCTCACTCTGCATGCTGTTACCAGAGCAGGGAGCAGCAGCGGTCAAAATAACAAGGCTTTAATAAGCTAAACAATAGAGGTACATGAGAAAATTTGTTCATAACGAATGAAAATAAATAATTAAATTGTGTCCGTGCCAGTCTCAAACCCTGGTCTCCCACTCTCTGGTCCAACACTCTACCCATTGCCCTATTGGAGGCTTGTTGTGAAATGAGCTACACGTTACACAACAACACAGTGACGTCTTTTTATAGAGGAGGTGGAGCCTCACCTGGGGGTTATTAGGTAAGGGGCTGAACGCAGGTTCCGGTGGGTTGTCGTACGGCTTGTGACATCACAAAATGAAGGAAGTATAAAACTTGTCGTTAATACACATTAAAAATACATTTACTTACAGTAAATATGCCCCTGGGTGCATTTTTTTGGTCCTAGGACTGTTTTGTAAGAAGTACATACACAAAGTTGAGTAAAAAAACATTTAAAAAGTGAATTTTGCATAATGGGGCCCCTTCAATCAATTAATCTGTCAATTATTTTATTGATCAATCGGCCAAATCAATAAAACCTTGAATTACATGAACGAACGAGACAAATCCGATTTTTTTTCAAATCAGACCCAGGCCGTTTCAGTATGTGGTTTTAAATCGGATACATATCTGATGTTTTCAAAGTGACTGCAGTGTGAACGCTCATGTCACATTCATCTGACTTTTTCATCAGGAGGGGGTGAAGGATCGATTAGACACTAACCTCAAGTCTCGCTGTTTAAATCTGTAGCTCCGTGTGTTTACAGCTCCAAAACACAAGTCCAGTTGCTCCATCTTTTTTACTTTTCATTTTCCACGTAGATAGTATGATAATAACGATGTCCAGCCTGGGTCGCGGAGAGTATCGATCCTAAAGTT